CTGCCGAATGCGGCCCCTTCTTTCTCTCCGCGTGTCCCCTCCGCCCGTAGTTTCTAGAGCGAGAGGACGGCCTGGGCTGGACGGAGCCTCGCTGTCCCCCGGCCAGGGATGGGCTGGAGGGGGAGTGGTCACTGCCGGCGCCCCGCCATGCAGCCCCCCGTGTGGCCGACCCCAGAGCGGACTTGTAGCTCGCGCTTCCTCCACCGCCTCGGTGTCCCTGCGAGGCGCGACGGCCCCAGGGAGCCGCGGGGGAATGGCCGCGGTCCCTGGGGGACCCCCCCCCCACTCCCAGAGGCTTGGACTCTGAGGACCCTCATGACCCCGTGTCAGGGGCACACGCATTTGGTCGCCGGATTCCAGCGTACCCAGGATCTGCCCACCCCCCTTTGCTTCTTCTACAAAATTCACCTTTCTCCTTTAGGAGACCTTGGCCGCCTTATGGGCTCTGGGAAATCCCTACTGGAAGGTGTGACACTCTTCGGGGCTGCTGGAGGCAGGACAGCCTTCAACATGGAAGAACAGGTCCCCAAATTGAAGGGCAGGGCCCTCCTTCTCCTGCGCACACCTCCCCCTCCTCCCCTCGGTTCCCAAGCCCCAGCTCCCTGCTCTTTTTCATAACCAGCTTTATTTGAGATCCTGCTACACGTTCAGAAAATAATCCCACCCATGCCCTCTGCCCCAAGGTAGCTAGAACAAGATGAAGGAGAAAGACAAAGGGACTCCATCTAGCTAATTTCTGCACTCTGGACGCTGGGACACATGGGTACACACACGCTGGACGGTGGGTACACACACTTGTTATTGGTTGAAGACCAGAGGGTTGCAGGTAGATGTCAGAGGCCACCGCAGGGCTCCCCCCGGGGTGAGTGTGGCTGGGAGTAGGGAGGGCTGAAGGTGGGGACTAGAGAAGGGATCCACGGATGTTTACAGGTGAAATCCATGAGACACTGTTGATGATTAGAAGTGGGGGGACAGAGGAGTCAGGGAGGACCCCTGGGTTTCTGGCTGGCCCCGCTGGGTGGGTGCTGGTGCCACTTGGGAGGTGCAAGGTGGGGGGCAGAGTTAGGAGGAGACCAGAGGAGGACCAGCAGGGAGGTGAGGGAAGATGGGAGTTGGGTTTGGGCCAAGTGAGCTTGGGGTCAACGTTGGCGTGAGTAGAAAGCCAAGGGATAGACTCTTGTGCGCCAGAGGTTCGGCAGGGCAGGAAGCCCACCCAGTGAGGAGGGGCTGGGAGGGCTGACCTGGAAGGATCCCTTAGAGCCGTGGGTTTCAAATTGCTCATCTGGACCTACTAGAGCTGCGACTTGCAACACGATAGCCACCAGCCTCGTGCGACCATTTACTGCTACGTTAAGTAAAATGAACTGAAAGTTAAAACACAGCTCCCTGGTCACACAAGCCACATTCTAAGTGCTCAACAGCCACGTGTGGCCAGTGGCTACCGTATGAGTCCATTTCCAACATCACAAAAAGTTCTATGGGACAGCGCCGCCCTAGAAGATCATAGAGTCCACTGAGTGGCTGGTGAGCAGCATTTAAAAAGAAAATGAAACAGAGACATGACCTGTAAGGCGTCATGCACAGGGAGAGTAAGTTACGTTCAGGAGATTTTTGCTTCCATTGTTTGTATACACTTGTGTGTCCTGATGGGGCGGGAAAATGTATTTCTTACTGGAAGTCATGGTGAAGAATGGGCGAGGCTCACGGCTGTAGGACCAACCCCTCCTGTTCCCTCGTTTGGAGGAGGGAGAGCTAGGCTGAGAGGGACCAGGGGACCCTCCCAAGGTCGCACAGCCAGAGGGGCAGGACCTGCCCTGGAACCCAGCTCTCCGGGCTCTGAGCTCATTGCCCAGCACACAACTTCCACTCTAAGGATTTCTCAGACCTTCAGGAGCCCGAAGGGAAACCGAAGCAGGTAAGGCCAGGCCTTGCATTTCACGGCTTCTTCCCTGACCTTGACCTCCATCACCATTGCTTTGACGCCCCACCCCTAGCCCCCGCCCAGCCCTCACTGTCAGCTGCACCAGGACACACTTGTCCCCAGGTGCCAGCCACAGCTTCTCCTCGGCAGTCAACCTCCATTCCCGAAAAGGTTCCTGCTGGCTTTGCAAAGGTGCAAGGCGCCGAGGCCTGACCCCCGGTGGGCCCCTCTCCCCGAGAGTGCAGGCCAGGCTCCCGGCGTCCGCTGCTAACCTCAGCTCCCCGGAGGCTGGGGGAGCCACAGGTTTGGGACTGGCCCTCCCAGGCTCCTGGCCCGCTGGCCCCCTCTGGCCCCGGCCTGCTGGTGACCTTCAAGCAGGTTTTGGCAGTGGGCTCAGCAGGGCCCCAGAGGAGACCCTGGAAAGGAAACACAAGCCTAGAAATGGATTTTCTTTTTCTCCAAGAGCAAAAGAAGTTGAATAAGAAATAAGTTACTATTTTTACTGCTGGGATCCGGTTGTTATGGCAACCGGGGGCCTGACTCCTGTGCCAGAGTCCTGGTTGGGCTGTGTGAGGGAGGAGACAAGGGGGGCACGAGGGGCAGCGGCCGCTGGAGGGCAAGCGTCAGGCTCCCGAGCAGGCGCCTTCACGGGCCGAGTCTGCCCCCGGTGGGAAGTCCGCCTCTGTCACCACTGACATGCCTCACCGTGGTGGTGGTGGGTGTCCCTGACGACTTCGTTTAGTGCAAGCCCGCTAGCTCTGAGGTCTCAGGCTCCGCCCAGCCTTGTCATCAAGCCTGTCCTTTGCCACTCCTGGCAGTGGTCATTGGGCCCTCGTCTCCAGGTGGAACTTGCGGCCCCTGCCACAGTGACCACTCACAGGCAGATAAGTAGATCAGCCCCTCGCCCCTCCTGGCCAAAACCCACCTCGCCATCTTCTCTCCCTCTCTGCCACTCCTCCTCTGGTCTCCTCCCTTGACGGTGGCACCAGCACTGCCCACTGGGCCAGGCTAGCTGGTAGTTGAAAGCTCTGAAGATGGCCTTCCCGGGACTCACGACCTGCCCCACCCCCAGCTCTGCACGCTAGGCCAGGGGTTAACACTCGAGCCTCAGTTTCCCCACTTGTAAAGCAAGTGTGACCGCACCCACCTTGCAGGGTCACCCAAGGAGCTAAGGCAGCCCAGGCTGACGTTACTGCTGACAGTGTCTCGTATCCCTTTAATCCTCTCCGTGACTCCACGTGGTGGGATTGTGGTTCCTAATTGACAGACAGGAAGCATGCTCAGCAGGGTCAAGTGGCTCAGCAAGCACGGAGCTGGACAGGGACTCAACCCCCAGCTGTCTAACCCCAAAGCCCGCGCCCTATTGAACAGACACGGGTGAAGCTCTTACTGTGTTCCCTGCTCTGCCGAGGGGCCGAGTGGGAAGCAGGTAGGTGAGATAAAACCCTCCCAACTGCCCAGGCTTCTCTCCCCTTCTCTGGGGCCTCTTCCCCATGAGGCCAACCTCTGCCATCTGTCCCTGGGACCCCTTGACTGGATTCTCCTCCTCTTCCCTCTTGGAGACTTTAATCCCCAATCAGTAGGTACGAAATGGGTACCTACTGTGTGTCTAGCTGTGTCTGGGAGCTAGACGGAACCTAGAGGAAGGCACAGTCCAGGCCGCCTAGAGAGGGTCTGGGATGACAGGAGGGACACGAGGCAATTGCAAACCATTTGTTCATTCTCTCAGTCCCTGAATTTGAGTGAGTGTCATGGCACATACATCATCTCATGAGTCCTTGCAGCAACCGGACGATGATTCCCATTCCACCGACGAGCAGGCGGAGGCTTGGCGACGTGGCTGGTGAGGGTGGAAAGGGGTGGAGCTGGGTCTCAACCCCAGGCCGACCTCACTGCCAGCCCCTGCTCTTGTTCAGAGTTTCTCTTTCAGTGTCCCAGCCCCCCTGCTCTGGGCGAGCCTTGGGCTGGCACTGCCCCTTTTCCTGGGGACACACAGGTGCAGTGGGGAGGCCGACCTGCTGGGGCAATAACCAAGGGGCAGGCAAGGTCTGGGGGGGGGGGGGGGCCCAGGAAGGGGAAGCAACTTTGCCTGTGGGGACAGGGAAGCCTTCTCAGCTGCAGCTTGTAGGAAGGCTGGAAGTCAGCCAGGAGGACAAGGGGCAGCCAGGTGAGGAAGTGCCTTCCAGGCAGAGCGAAGAGCATCTGCAAAGGCTCAGAGGCATGGAGCTGCATGGTGTGATTGGAGTCCTGCTGGCTCCTGAAACCTGAGTGAGGGGTCTGGACGCTATCATCTAGGCACTGGAGAAGCAAACAGTTTTTAAGCAGGAGAGTGAGGAAGCGACACTCTCCATGCTACAGGAGGATGAGGATGTTGCTACTCATAGAAGAGGGGGCTGGAGCAGGGAGCACCCAGCTGAGCTGAGGGAACAGAGAATAGAGATTCTGGGAGGCAGCATCCACATGTCTTCAAGAGGAAATGGGGGAGGGCAGTCACTGGGGTGGTGCCCTGGTTCCTGGCTGAGGCTGTTCCCTCTGCCTAGAATCCCCTTCCACCTTAGTTTTCCTGGCAGACTTCTATTTATTCTTCCACACCCAGCTCAAAGGTCTCTGCAAGAGCTTTTGGGAGAAGGGCTTCTCCTTCCTTTGTGCTATGATATCATCCTGCCAAGGCCCACCAGCCAAAGGCTGCCCGGACCACGTGTACCTGTCACCTGTTGTAAGGCTTCTCGAGCACTGCAGCAAGGG